GGCTTCATGAGTATATAGGGCGTATCACAACTCAATGGCAAAACTTCAGGCATGGACTCCTCATTTAGAGAGAAGAAAAAAAGTTTATGACAACATGGGTCTGGAAATGCATATAATTACAGAGTAGTAATTGTGTCTGCATGCCACTGAAAAGAATTGGCGACATGAGTACTTTCTATCAGTGGGTTGGCCTTTCACTGGGAGGATAGCTCTATGATTATCATGACATCACCTGTGATTACTTCATGANAGTAATTCTGTATAAAACGATTGATTTGTTACTTGTATTCTTTATGCTAAACTTATCGAAAGTGGGAAGTTGTCAGTTGAGGTTCCAGAGGAAGGGTTAATTCTTCAGCAAATATCGCTGGTTGAACCAGTCAATAAAGTAGGGCCTCAGAACATTTCATTAGTATGCAAACATACTGTCATGTGTTAAGTAACTATAGATGGTAGTTACTATAGGATTCTGACGATGGTGTATAACACACTGATATATTGGATTTTTGGACTTTATCCATCGTCCTGGTTTTTAAGATAACTAATAAAAACACGACGTTTCAGAAACTGGATCTGTTTCCGTCCTCAGGTAAAGGAAAACACCTATTCTGTTGGGTCCGTTAGAAGGAGCTAACCTCAATCACTGGACGGAAACAGATCCAGTTTCCGAAACGACGTGTTTTTATTAGTTATCTTAAAAACCAGGACGATGGATAAAGTCCAAAAATCCAATATATCAGTGTGTTATACACCATCGTCAGAATCCTATAGTAACTACCATCTATAGTTACTTAACACATGACAGTATGTTTGCATACTAATGAAATGTTCTGAGGCCCTACTTTATTGACTGGTTCAACCAGCGATATTTGCTGAAGAATTAACCCTTCCTCTGGAACCTCAACTGACAACTTCCCACTTTCGATAAGTTTAGCATAAAGAATACAAGTAACAAATCAATCGTTTTATACAGAATTACTTGGGTTTTGGACTTCTTCCATCGTCCGGAATTTTAGGTAATAGAGGCCACGACGTTTCGGAACTGGATCTGTTTCCGTCTTCAGGTGAGAAAGTAAAACACCTACTCAGTTGGGCCTCAGAGAAAAAGCTAATCTCAATCACTGACATTAGCTCTCTCTAAGGGGCCCAACTGAGTAGGTGTCTTCCTTTCTCACCTGAAGACGGAAACAGGTCCAATTCCTAAACGTCGTGTCCTCTATTACCTAATATTCCGGACGATGGAAAGAGCCCAAAACCCCAGTAATTCTGTGTGTCATCCACCATTGCCAGAACCCTTTACAATCTAATCGTTTTATAGCTTACATTGTTCCTGCTACGAACAGTCTCTTATTACATACTCCGCTTAATATTTAAAATTTACTTCTTAATCGAATACGTCGTCTGCTACACGTCCATGTTACAAAACAGACTTGCGCAGCGAGTACATTAGAATATTTCACATAAGCGATCGCCATTAATGTTGTCTCATAGCAACTTTAGAAAAATCGATAAACGCCACATATAATAACGTGGAACTTTGTCATTTTACACTAAGAACTATACTACAAAGATAAATACGAAATGTATGCGCAAACCACAACCATCCTAACTCAATTCAAGTGTCATATCCACGACTTCAGCACGTTCAGCACCCTTCGTTCTTTTGTTCGAACCGGAAGCAGAATGACGTCGCGATTGCCAACCGCTGTGGGCTGACGTCCTGATATTAGTAACAGTTGTTTTTTGATAGTATTCTTATACGTGCACGAATTTAATATATTTCTTTCAACTTTGTTCTTAATTTAACCAAAAGGTAAGTGAATATGTACGTATGAACGTTTCAGTAAGCCAAAAGAAGTTTAGTTAATAATGTTCGTATTCATGAAAGCAAATTGAAGGTCAACGAAACGGCCACAGAGGCCAAGACTTAACGTGAAATCACTTTGATGTAAGCTTAAGGCCATGAAAAGGACTTATATGATTTTGACCTTTTTTTTTAATATACTGATTACACTGGGCAGAATCCATAGTTACCACAAGCATTCCATCTGGTTTCCGTCCAGTCATGGAACCCTCTTATTGTTAATTGTGAAAGTAGCTGAGTCACATTTTATTTTTGGAATACGAAAAATGAATTTTTCTGTTCAGCAGATTACAGTATGTTCCTCTGGGACTGGTTCACTGGTGTCCTAGGATACTTGGGTAAGTGTGAGGTGTATCACGTACATTCATTAACATATTTCATGGTGTTAGCATGTGATTTAATTAAAGTCCATTTAATATTCTAGTCCATCTGCTCACTGCACCAATAAGAGACCTTGATGTTTAATATGATAATATACTTTTGTGTGAATAGTCTTGTATAACTAATAGATCAAATGGCAGAAACATACCTTAGGTCTTATACATTTTTGGTCTTTTCTTTCTGTTATAAAAGGTTTAGAACATCGAAAGGGTAGGTTTGCGTTTTTAGGAGTGGAGAAATCGGGAAAGACAGCTTTATTACGTCAGCTGTTGGAAGAAGGTTACATAGAGCCTGTTCCTTGGACAAGTAAGTCCATTTATTGAGTGATATGATGCATGATGTATGTTCTGTGGTTTTCACAGGATTGTGGAAAAAGTCTGGGAAGTTACTCTTCCTAGGACTGGATAATGCAGGCAAAACAACTCTACTGCACATGCTCAAGGATGATCGCTTAGCTCAGCATGTTCCAACACTGCATCCAAGTAAGCAGAATGACAATATGTAGGGAAACGTACCTCTTTAATAACTGTTTATTCACATTCTGCTTTAATATTAAATCCTATTATCTGATAATCGAGTGACTAAATGTTAAATGCACAGATATGTATAAAACTGGATGATTTTTATTGAGTGCTGATTTGAAGGTAAGGTGTAATTTTTTTATCTTTGTTAGATTGAAACTTAGCTTGCACTAACAGCTGTAGTGGCTTTGTGATATTAAAATATTTGTTACGATTTTTCGTATGGTAATGTAATGTTCAAACAGTAGGTGTTCCAGAATTGTATTAGTGGTTGTGGGTTTATTCCAATCAGGAATTTCATGTTATCTTTGCCATTCCTTCATAACCAGTTTTTCATATGATCATTGCATTTACTTGGTATAATGTAATAGTGAAATATTTTATAGGAAAGCATGTACTGGAATTATTTTAGAATGATTGAAATGTAGCAGGAAGAATGTAGGTCCCTTCTGAAAGGCAAATATATGGCATTCCTAGATCCCTCTCCACTTCAGGCTGTCTTCAGAAGTAAATATAACAGTACACAGGACATACTTTATTATTTTGTATAGCCAGGGGAAGATATAGCGTATCATCATTCTTTTTCTAAGAGAGAGATTTCAAAATATACATTCAATAGAGTGCTGAATTTTCTGGACTTTATCAATCATCCTAATTTTTATTTGAAAAAATGTTTCAGAAACTGAGTTCTATGTCCTCAGGTAAAACGCATACTCTCTTCGATACAATCAAGAGAGCCAGTCTTTTATATTGTATTCAAAACATACAGTTTGTTACGTTCTCATTATGTGACAGTAGTTCGTTGGTGTAATTTTGGATAAGTTAGGAATGTAATTTTGTAAGGTTGTGAAGAATTAACACATCATAGAATTCCAACCCAACTATTCTGCTGACATACACTGTTGGCCCCTTCATTACAAAATCTTTCTTTCCTAGTTGATTTTGTTAGCAATTATCACTGCAGGAATTTCAGGTTTCATTTTGTAATTTCTCTTCCAAACACGGTTCTGGTTCATGGACTGAAATATGTAGTATAAAATAATTTAAATTGATGTCTGTGGGTTTTCTGTTTCAAATATTATTACATTAACTATAGCATTTGGATATTTTAGAACAAGGGGCTGAGGAGTTTGTAGTATATCTATCAGTGCTTCAGTAACTCATATTATATAGCATTGAATGACTGGATGACAGTGAATATTGAATTGGCAAAGATGTGGAAGGAACTGGTCATGATTTCATTTAAGGAATTGTGCTGTCATTTGTCTGGAGGGACTGAGGAGATCTTCCAAATTGTATATCAGGATAGTTAGTATCCCATCTGAGATCAAAACCTCACTACAAATCAGATTTGGTGAACAGGCATGCTCAGTAAGGTACTAAGAAGAGCAGTTATGCCTAAGGGCGGCTGCACACCAACTGCGTGAAGACAAGCATCAAGACATGAGAGAAAAGATGCAGTCTTGCTTCATTCATGATTCATCAGCATGAAACTGATGTCAGCATCATGACTCAGACTGGTATGCGGCAGTTTTCATAATCGCATTCGTTTCATCTGTGCTCCTTTCTTTGTGTCATGTCGCAGACATCGTGTCTGGACTCTTACATGTTTTGACACATGCCGGTGTGCGACCTACCATATAGTATGTAAATAGCACCAACATGGTAATGCAATGAAGCGGTATCACCTCATGTTCACTTCTTACATCAGATATAGATATTATCAGATGTAGGGGGGTATACAGCCTACCTAAGAAGTAGGAATTAACAGGAGACAAAATAAAACTGCATAAGGTGCTGCATAACTCACCACATATTACAATGGACAAATCAAGAATTTTGAGATGGAGAGGAGCATATGACTGAAATGAGAACTGCATACTGTATTTTAGTCAGAAAATGTGAAGGGAAAGAACCACTTAGGAGATCTGGGCATAGATTGGAGGTGATACTAAAATCGATCTTAAGCCATTCGGTTTGAGGATTTTTTGTTCAAGACAGTACATCGTGGCTGGGATTATTTTTGTAAATCAACTTAGTGTGGAAGGGATAAGCTGAAATAGTTCCACAGGCCAGTACTCAGTATATCCCAGCACTGTATAGAATGGTTGTCCAAGCCACAGGCCAGTACTCAGTACATCCCAGCACTGTACAGAACAGTTGTTCAAGCCAAAGATAAATTCATGTTGTTGGGATGACTTCAGGAGAGAACAACTAGTGCTATGCTCAGAAGGCAGAAGTTCCATAAACTAATCTTTAGTCCATACAGGTGCTATAAGGGACTGTTCTGTAATCCAGAGCTATTGATTTAAATGAACATGGTGTGAGGATATGGACTTGGTTTGTTTGGATCTAGGGTCCAGTGGGAAGCTCTTATGGGCACATTTCTGAAAGGTGGAGAGTTCTGTAACCAGCTAAATGACTTAGCCTCACATGAAGCATTGTGGTCCATTTAATTGGTTAGTTGCCTTACAATTAGACATTCTGTTTATTCATTTAAAATGATTATATTTTTCTTTCATTTGTATAGCATCAGAAGAACTGTCAATAGGCAACATGAGATTCACAACATTTGATTTAGGGGGCCATCACCAAGGTGAGTCAATTTTTCTGCTGTAAAGGCTCTCATAAGGTTATATCGACATGGAGTGATAGTAACCATATAGTAATTTTGATATGTTAAATTATAGTTTTCACTTTCAGAAAAAAATGTTGCTCAGCTGTCTGTTCTTTTTAGGAAGCAATGAAAAGACTTTAAATGAAATAGTGAAGTACTTGAGAATTACTGAGAATCACTGATAAACATATTAAATAACCTGTGAAGATTTGAAACATTGTTGATTCTTTGTAACTGCTGAACATGCTGAGATGCTGTGTTTCAGCACGACGTGTTTGGAAGGATTATTTCCCTGCTGTGGATGCAATTGTGTTTTTGGTGGATGCTACTGACAGAGGCCGATTTGTAGAGAGTAAAACAGAGCTGGACTCTCTGCTGACTGATGAACAGCTGAGCAACTGCCCTGTACTCATTCTTGGAAATAAGATTGATCGCCCAGAAGCTGCATCTGAGGATGAACTGAGGAGCTTCTTTGCTTTGTATGGCCAGACCACAGGCAAGGTATGTGCACCAGAAGAAACTTACAGCGAGCAATATTTGAATGTAACTCTGTATTTAAGCATCCTGTTGCAAGCCATATTAAAATGTCTTATGTATAACACATTCCGTCAATAATGCAACAGATTGTTCCTTTTTCTGCCACTTAACAGTTTTTACACAACACTGTTCAGCCCCAGATGACCATCTTCAGGTGTCTTAATATTGTCACGTGTTGGGTGTTTGTCAACTTGTACTCTTCTCCAAGTACAATTAGAATGACCAAGTCAAGGAGGATGAGGTGGGCAGGGCATGTAGCACAAATGGGGAGACAAGGAATGTATATAGGATATTGGTGGGAAAGCCAGAAGGAAAGAGACCACTGGGAAGACCAAGGCATAGGTGGGTGGACAATATTAAAGTGGATATTAGAGAGATAGGATGGGATGGATTGGATTGATCTGACTCAGGATAGGGACCAGTGGAGGGCTCTTTTGAACACAGTACTGAACCTTTGGGTCCCATAAAATGCTGGGAAATTCTTGAGTAGCTGCACAATTGGTGGCTCGTCCAGAAGGGCTCAGCTCCATGAGTAAGTAAGTAAGTAAGTAAATAAGTAAGTTGGGTGTTTGTCACATAACAAAGAACTTCATGGCGGTTTGGATCTAGTGAATTTATTCCACACTCACTCTTACACATACACAATTCACAATTTCACAATTACTGCCATCTGCAGTATCACAATTACTTCTCCTGCTGTAGTCACTTCCATTCACTCGATACAACTCAATAACAACTCGTAGCTGCTGGACTTCATCTCATATTGAATACTGCTCTTAACACTCTCTCTCTCTGTGGTTCAACACTGATGAATACTCCTCGTTATGTGGCTTCCGCACTGACAGCACAGAAAACAGTTACGTGATAGCTACCATTGTTGCATCATGTCGTGTTTACTGATTGCCTAGCAATAGTCTCTGCACGGACTCCCCTGTTGCGTGACATCACAGCCTAGCGGGGAGGGGTGTTTACTGAGCGTTGTGTAGGTACGGGATGAGTGGGGTATGTGATGTCACTCACACTTCCTGTTGCCCAATCCAAGTGTTCACAGAGTTGTCACCTAGCAACGCGCCAATACAATCTGCAACTATCACGTTGCGCGTGTGCCCCAAGGCCTCTGTGGCTCAGCAGTTCCTGCATAGAGCCAATATGCCACAATATTAAAAGTGCTACACTGCATTAATATGCACTAAAATCACACGCTCACTGCTGATATGACTTCAAATAGAACTGGCTTTCCTACTGAAGATTTTATGGTTTTCCTCAATCCCTTGTATGAATTCCAGGATATACTTCTCTTGACTGCTTTCTCCCACGTTTCTTCTGACTCTCCATTCATGATCTTCACATGGTATGGAATGTTTCACAGCCTTCATAGTGTATATAGGACTGAAACAGTATACAAATGAAGTAGTGTAGAACTGAAAACTTCTTACACTGACAGTGATATTAATATAGGGCGATTTTCATGATCTCCAGAAGATTGTGAAGTAAATAATTACCTCCAGGTACACTAAATGGGGTCTTCTTTAACCACCAATCAAGATCTGTTATTGTCCTCCTGAAACTCAGCATTGAATTGAGTTACTGCAATGCCCTTTGTCTCCTTAGAACCTGTATTCAGCGAGATTAATTTTAATATCAACCTACTACAGTGAAACCTCAATTTTAAACTTTTTAAGCAGCTTCCTAAAATGAACATAAAATTCAGGAAAGTGTAAAATCAGGGAAATATGAATGTTACCACATAATGAAAACTGATCTTCTTTATACCATAATTTGGAAAGTCATTTAAAACAAAACTGTGTGTTTTAACATCAACAATATAAACATAAATGAAAATGTGGTTCTTGGTTTATTTTACAGTGCTTTATCTATGACTGTTTATGTAACATTGTTAAGATTAGATGATGATTATAACTGGTGAATACAAAGATTGTGGAAGGAAGCGATCATGGCTTATTTGAAGGCACTATCCCTTAATTTGCCTGGAACGACTGACAAATATGGTACATACCTAGTTTCTGTTTCTTTTCTCCTCGAGCTCTCAGTCTGTATAATTCAGTTTCAACTTTGTTGCCTATACAATAATATTTTTGGTATCAAATTGATATATGTACTTTCTGGCTGCTTCCAGCCCTTTAAGTGCCTCCAAGAATGTTGGTTTATGTTCTCAACTTCCTCCTCCGGCTTAATCAGTGTTGATCTAACACCTCGTTGACACCCATAACTCCACAGACCTCAGGAGCAGTGTTACAAGTTGGGTAGTCCTCAGACTGCACTTCAAGAGATTGTACACTGTGTCAGTCATCCTTTTCATCTTCAGTGAGTTTCACCACACTGTCATCATTCCTGCTGACATGATTGAGAAACCACACTTCACAGACCAGTTCTTGATTCTAGTAGGGGTTATCCTCCAAGGTTCTACTGTTAAGTGGATTGCAGATAGCACATCCAGCTCATCTATGGAGCATCTTGGAGCAGTCCTCCATCTATCATGGCTGCAGCCTTTGAAATCAGCTGCTTTCTGTAATGGCATTTGAATGCATGGATGATTCCCAAATATAAAGGCCATGGCTGGATGATATAGTTAGCTGAGCTGATGTTGCTGAAAAATTTGGTGTTCTCTGAATGATCAGCACACTGATAAAAGCAATATTTTGCCATTTTTAGCACCCAGTTGTATGAGGTATTCCAATATTTTGGTGGTTATCCAAGAACTTTTTATTAGCTTCATATTTTGTAGGTAGTCTCTTGACATTCTTGAAGCAACATAAGACATATTTTCCAGTTACTACAGTGGTAGTTATCACTAACATCTTCATCCTTCTGAGGTAGTTGGAATGCTTGACAGGGTAATTTCTCACTTAAATATGCATGTTGGTGAATATGTGTATATATATATATATATCTGTGTGTGTGTGTATAACTTGAAGTAAGAATACTTCCTAGATAATTACAAAATTGTTTATCCCTTGAGTCACGTGTATGGCTGTCACTTATGTCATTCATTTTGTTTCATTGTTATAGGGTAAATTACCTCGAGCTGAGCTTCCTGGACGCCCTCTTGAACTCTTCATGTGCTCTGTGCTGAAGCGTCAAGGTTATGGAGAAGGCTTCCGATGGTTGGCCCAGTACATTGATTGATGTGTCTGCTGAAATGAACTTGTGTGATGTGTAACATCTAATTATGATGAAGCAGACATTTCCTTCAGCTACTTGAAATTTACAAAACCACTGTTGGGATACTATAATTTAATTTTCTTCCTAAGGTCTTGTTGCAAGCTTGCAGCCATGTTGTGACAGTTTGAAATGTGCATGTCTGTTAATGGAAAGGCAGATCAGTCATCCTTGAATCTGTGAATGTAGTCAACCCAAATAACTTGTTCAACTTGTTTCAGTTGGGCTTTGAATTTCAGACATGTTTTACAAGTCTTTTTAAAATAGCACATTTCAAATTGTATAAATATTTTTGGTGAACACTTCAGAAGAATTTGACTGAAGCGAAAACTACTGAGCAGGAAGTAATCTTGGACATTAAATAAGACCAGTGTTGCTGTAATTGTTTACTACTTGATGTATGGACAATTCTTAATTTTGTGGGGCTGTAGATGTTGAGATTAGTTGTTTCATACAAAGATAAATATTGTCAGCCCTTTTGTTATTTATCAGCATGATCCTGTCATGGAGAACTCAAATTCTGTACAGAGATATGACAATTTGAAGTCGGCTTGTTTTCATAACTTATAAACTTGTATTGTGACACTTTTTCTATAAATTTCAGAGAATTAATTGTATTCTAGGAGAAAATATTGCAGCATTTGAATCAAAAGAACTGTACACGATGCACATCAATATTTTACAGGAAGTGCTTGTTACATGTTTTGTAGATCCAAAGTCAGTTCTCTCCAGTACTGTAGTCGTATGGCTGCTATGGGTATGTCTTATCCAGTCTCCATGATATTCTTTGTTATAAATAAAATTTCATAACATGACAGCATTGTATCCTTTGTTACCCTACACACACACATTTTTAGCAGCGAGTTCATGGGAATAGTATGCCAATCCAGTAAAAATAAGTAATTTCTTAAAGACAGCCAAGGTCCTTGCCATCTGTTTCTGCTGATTTCTTGCTTGGTTTCTCTTTGACCATGAAATGTCAAGTTGGCTACAAACTATACACCATTAGAACCCAGAAGACTGTACTTTTAAAGGCCTTGAAATTTAAGATAGTGTGGCATGATGGCTAAAAGCCAGAATAGTGGAACAAATAAAGGCAGCAACAGCAAGGTAAACAGCTGTCCACAGCAACAATGCAGGACACAGTGTTTCCTATGTGGTCATTGCTAGGCAACAATTATGCATGCAACAGTAACAGAACCATCGAAAGTGACGTTTTCTAAGTGGTCCATGAAAAGGCGAGGAACAGGAAAAGGGTCATGAGCCAAGGTTATGTTATGACTGACAATCAGTTGACCAGTCTGTCTTGGTGTCAAACACCCATTGGACACCTAAGACCAGATTTCTGTTACTGTCAGACAGTTGTAGGTTTGTTGATGTGGAGGCGCCCTCTCTAACGAGAGGATGGGTTTGTCATTTACATTTGCTGCTGTTCCTCACCAGTGTAGTCATATTTACTGCCTATAAACTCTTAAAGCCATTTTGCTTCATGAGTTTTAATACAATTTTTGTGATGGCCATTATTCTGTCTTCTTCTGAGTCGGCCCCATTAAGAAGCCAACAGTCGGAAGTTTGAGTTAGTGTTTATCTGAAGACATATGGGGCAGTAGATGTGTAGATCCACATTTCCTTGACCTCGGCAGTAGTTGGAGGTGAGTGGTCAGGTTCACATCCCGGTTGCCTTACCCCTGGGGAAAGGGTCCCCAATACCCATTGGATAGGAGGCTGGGTGGGCCCCAGAGCTGGTCTGGACCCTACTGGGCCGCAAACTATACCAACTGCACTATCCTGGTTATCAGCCTAGGGTCTTGAATTACATTGTTAGATGCTGTTACCAAACGATGACCAGCGAAGACATAGAAGACTTAGTGTTGCAGCAGTAATTTGTAATGTGTGTAGATCAGTGAAAGTGCTATAGTTATTTGTAGTTACAAGTTATAGGCGTTCAGTATATTTAATTATCAATCCAAACCCCATGTCTGGTCACTAACACATGACAGTTGGTGTCAGAAGTGGGATTGGACAGGATTAATTGAACTAAATCAATCTTATCAAATTGTGCACTGCCTGACTGTGGAACCCAAGGTGGTAGTTGAACTTCTGGTGCCCAGCAGATTCTAACAGGTTCTAATCATGGTGTATGACATCCAGAATTACTGGTTTTTTGGACTGTTGATCATCCAGTATTCTAAAAACTAGAGAATGTAACATTTGAGAAACTGGATGTTTCCATCCTGAGGTGAGGGGGAGAACCCAGCACTGAATTTACCAACTCACAGAGATCAGTATGACAGCAGATTCTTCATGGATTTCTATAAAGTTTTAATCTTGAGTGTTTTTACTCTCACAGATGGCACTAGTGGTAGGCACAGTATGGTTTCACAAATTCACCATTTAACACTATGCCATGGTTTTCATGCACCTGGTTTGTTGCATAAAATGTTCACCTCCCTATCTTAGTTCCATGTCTGTGCATAAGTTATCAATTTGTATTTCATATTTTCCTGTTATCTCCCTTCAACATAGCCTGTCTCAGGTATTTATATAGCTGTAGTTAATCTGACATGGGTAGTTCAGTGACTGAGGTTAGCTCTTTTGAAAAGACCCAACAGAGTAGACATCTCCCCTCATCTGAGGAAGGAAACATCCAGTTTCTGAAACATTGTATTCTGTAGTTTTTAAAATATCAGATAGTGGACAAAGTCCAAAAACCCAGTAATTGTGGCACCCACCTTAGGAAGACTAGAGGCCAAGATAGCAGCCGATCAGAAGAGGAAGGTATGGCTAGAAAGGATGGAAGCCAATCAAGGAAAGACACTGGCACTACAGGCACCACACATAAAAACCATGCACCTTCTTTACCATCCTGCAGGACCACACTTCCTATGTTCTACACAAAGTCCCTACAAGGAGACTATTGGAGCACCTTGAGACTGATTTGGGGACCAGCACCTGGTTGCAGCATACCACACTCAGCTGAACGATGGGTTCCACATGATTTGAAGGAAATGCAGAAATGGCTACGATACGACGCTGCTCGTAACCACTTGGAGCACTATGAGCATGAAGCAGAGGCTTTCTTACACCGTATCATTACACTGGATGAGACATGTGCCAAATCATATGAGCCACAAATCAAATGCCAATCAAACAAATGGCATCATTACGGGCCACCACAAAAATTAAAAGATCGTCAGAACCCAAGCAATGTGAAAGTTATGGCGATTCTCGTGTATGACTGTGGTGTTATCCTAATACATACCATTACCCGACAGCAGACCGTCAATGCGCAGTATTACTGTTCATTTTTGGAACACAACCTGCGACACTTTCTGCAGGACAATGCTTGGCTGCATGCAGCGCAGGCTGTGGCCAATTTGTTCGATCAATGGGGCTGGGAAGTGCTGTACCATCCACCATATTCCCCGGACTTAAGCTCTTGTGATTTTGACTTGATTCCTAAGATGAAGGAACCACTTTGTGGCATTCGCTTCAGAACTGTTCCAGAGATTCTTCAGGCAATAGACCGCTTCATTTGAACTATCAACACAACGGGCGCTGCTAAAGGTATCCTACAACTTCCACATCGCTGGCAACGGGTTGTACACAATGCTGGTGACTACACTGAAGGACAGTAAAACTTCAAAACATGCATCTATTTTGTATCAGTTGTAAATAAACAGTTGCCACTATTAAAGTTCCACCCCTCGTAGATGGTGTAGATTTGCAAAAATGTTATAGTTATTTGTAGTTAAGCATTCAATAAATCCAATTATCAGTCCAAACCCCCATGTCTTTGTCATTAACACATGACAATATGTTACTGTCTTGAGCAGCGGACCTTTAATTCTGCTTAGATATTTCTTGATATATACTGAGAAAGGTTTCATTAGACTATATACGTGATCAGTTCATTCCATTCACAATGTATTTCCTTTAGGATCTGTTACTCTGCTTTCCTTTTTAAGGAAAGAAAGCAGGCTTCTGAGATTACATTGCTATCTGTGTGTCTCCTCTTTCAAGTTTTTAACTACGTTCCTGATTTGAAGAAAATCTGATATTAATATTATGCTATTTGAGGACACCACAATGATGTAACTTTTAATTTCTTCCGTATTATAATAGTACGGTTATCACATGAATGTGTGGACTGGCATTAATGATAGTGTGACATGCGCAACGGAGGACCCCTACCTCCCCAGCGGCACGTGGCGGTAACGTAGCGCTCCCTCCCCCCCACCCTCCGCGGTCACGTAAGACGGCGCGAGGTAACAGCGTTGCTAGACACCGCTTCCTACTGTGACGTGGCGGGCGACCCTGGCAACAGCGAACGGAATAAAAGCCGGCTGAGCAGCAAGCGAGGGTCAGTGTGTTATCAACGAGTTCTCAGTTCGCAAGTTACGAGCTACAGATGCGTGTGCGATAACTAAGAAGTCAGCGAGCGGAAGACTTATTGTGTGCTTTCAAGACCTAGTGAGTGCTGTAGTACAGTTATATTTGGAGTGTGTAATTCAGCGAGACTTGTATAGCTCCCGCGCTATTAATATGTGCAGACTCTTGAAGATAGTGTTAAGAGACTTTGGTTGTAGGGTTTGTAAAGTGTGGAAACCCGCAACTGTGTTATAATTAATTGTAGCCGTGATTTGTAGGTTGTTAAATAAACCAATTAACGATCTCTACGGCGTATTCAATAACGAAACACGTTACATTTGGTGTCAGAAGTGGGAATACAATACAATACAATACAGTACAATACTTAATTTTGGGTCCCAAAATGAATCAGCTTTCATTAAGGCAATTTTTTTGTATAATGTAAAATAACAGTGATTGAGCTAAAACATCAAGATTAAAACATACAAATCTATCTTGTGATTTTATTGGTGTGAAACGCTCTCACATTAAAAGAACACAGATTCAGTGTTTGATATTAGGGCTCTGAGGAGAATATCTGGACCTAAGAGGGAGGAAGGAAGGAAGGAACAATGAGGCTACAAAAAACTGTAGAGTGGGGAGCTTCATAATTTGTACTCTTCATAAACTAATATTGGTCTCATAACGGGACATACAGCAACCACTGGAGAGAAAATTAATGCATACAAAATTTCGGTCAGAAAATCTAAAGGAATTACACTACTTGGAAGACTAAGTATGCATGGGAGCACGATGAGTTACTCTGGCTCAGGACAGGGGTCAGCAATGGGCTCTTGTGAACATGTCATTAACTTTCATGACTAGCTGAGGGACCAGTAGCTTTTCAAGATGGACTATGCTCAGTGGATTCCTTTCCATTCAGCTGCAAAAACCTCTTATAGCATAGACGCACCAGTCATGCAGAAAAATCCTCAGTAACAAGACTGTAAACTTCACCAATGAAACAATGAAATATTTGACTTGTCATGCCATAATTAGTAACTGTGAAAAATGGAATTCAAATGGATATTATCGTCTTTCATTGTACATCAGACACTTGTGGAATATCTTAAAAGAAAAATTACACATGCAAACAATGACTGAGATTAGTAGCATTATCAGCTCCAAGTACATGGGACATAACATGATATGTAGGCCTACTGTACCAATGATGCCAAACAGGGCTGAGGAGTTAAGGGTTTAAAATAATGGTTTCTGTTCATCTATGTAACATTTAAATAAAATAAATTAAAATCCATACAATTCTATGAGTCATCCATAAAAGCACCAAAAGTCATCCTTAATTCTGAACACCCCAGTCTATTCCACACAATGACAGCCATCACAATCACATCCTCATGTATACAGGTTTGTGTTTCAACAGTACAATATTAAATTACTCTAAACAGCTCAGAAGATGGAAGTTGTGGTTTCCAACATCACACGCAAGATGACTCATGTCTTCTTGGATGTGACATTATGGTTTGATGCATAGGTACCAATGTTGGAATGACAATACAGCCAGTATAAAAAAAATTGTCACATAAATAATACATATGGCCTTATATGTTTCAGCCCTTTGGGCCATCTTCATATGCCCTGCAGTGAAAGGGAACTTGCTTTATGGTTGCTAAGGATCTTAGTATAATAAGTTATACAGTCGTCGTCGTCCTCATCATCATCATCAATCACCATAACAATAAAAATAATAATACAGGTTAAAATTTTAGGTGTTTAAATATTATCAGTAAAATTTTTTAGTTTTTATTATATCTCCTGATGGATACTTTTCTCTTGCTGCTTGCCACATATCTGAATGTCCTGTTCGATCCATGTAGTGTCAAGGTATGTGTTAGACTGCCCACACACACACACACACACACACACACACTACACAGATCCAGCCATTTTACCAATAATATTGTGATGTGTATGAGTGACTACAGACAGTGTCTGAATTGGAGATTGGATTTACTAACCACTTACAGATTGTAACTACAACTGTCTTCACAAGTCTTTCCCTGGTAATGGCTTCAAACAGTGGAGACTCTTCAGTTTCCGCCCTCACTTCACTGCTAACTGCACCAATTAAGTCTTCTTTTCACAGACTCCCTTAATACTCTCTCTCTCTCCAATTGTCCTCCTCATAACATCTCTGCATGGACTGTGTAGAAAACACCATTTTTGTATTCCAATTGTTTCTGTGGGAACATGTTTGTTTGCAAAGGGGTAACTCAGCAAAGGCTTTGTATACTTATTATGAATCTGTTGCCTAGCAGCAGATGTTGCTTCATTGTTTGTTTCAATGTCATTACCCAGTAATGAATCTATATGCTACAATATTTAAACGTCTACAATTTTAACCTAATTTATTGTTATGACTGTATAACCTATTATACCAAGCTCCCTATGAATTATAAAAAGTTAGTTCTACTGCTGACCCTCTGAAGATGGCCCTAGGGGGTTAAAACATGTAAGGCCATATAAATAACTGTATTATTTACACTAAACTTGTTTACACTGAATGCCTTGTCACTCCAAGATTAATGTAAGTGTAACAGCATAATGCCTCATGTTCTATATACCAATGTTTGAGAGGAACATGCTACCTCTATGTTCTCCATAAAGGAGTATGCTGAGCATGGAACAAAAAAGATATAGGCAACAACACAGCATCAATACCAGAAGACAGTAACTTTCATAGTCACAGCTGTGAGAACCTCAGCATCTCACATCATACACAAGGCTCACAGCTCAAATCCAAAACCAAATGATCAATATGAGGGGCATATGACTTAACACGGTGGAGATGTAGTACAGACACTTTCCATACAATTTCGTACACTTCACTCAGAATGCTGCAAATAGAATGAGAAGCATGGAGTGCCCAAGCCTTCCACTCAACTTTCTTCCAACTAACATAGCTGTTTCCTATAATTAATTCATCACCATCAAAAGAAAAAGACTGTTTACAAGTTTCATGTAGGAATTTCTTAGACAGTGCATGAATGAGGATAGGTCTGCACTCCAAACACAATGCAAGTTCAGCTGTTTCAAAGCTGTGATTATAAAGATCAGTCCCAGTGTCCGTCTTGTCAATCCCTGAAGTGACATTTCCATGTATATGCAGCACCCCTCCAGTTGATTTCAGAACTTTACAAGCAGTCTGCCAGCTAGCCTCACAAGATGGCAGAAGTCCCAAGTTCACTCTGTCTGCAATATTATGTAACTGCACCTAAACAACATATATCAATCTTAGGTACTGGAATTCCACAAGACATGAGAGAGTGCATTATGAAAGGTATAAAGGACAGCTTTATGAAATGAAGGCAAAACAATTTCAGGATTAACAACAAGGATAAATAACTGGGTGAAGAGACATGCAGAAGGAAAATATAATCTGAAAACAAATAAATAATGCACTGTGGGAAGAGAGTAGAAATAATTTTGCAAAGTAACAATCTGCAAAAGTACATGATTCCCAGCAATAATGACCATACTAGTTTAAAATAAGTTCAGGATAAGTCTTACCCATCTTTGCTTCCATATTTCAACATCAAAGCTATTTTGCAGTTAGGTTTAACTGCAGGGTGAATGTGTGTGGTTTTATGTACTTAAGACATTATGGTTACCTACTTTATGTTACAAGCAGTAACTTATCAAAATTTGTCAGCAAGTCCATGCTATTAGCACAGATAATGTAATACGCATTCACACCTTTTGATTGTCTCCTTCATGAATAATGCATCTTTCACTCACATTGTTCTGAATCAAGTTCTTCCTGGAAACACAATAAAACAGATATCAGGTGTGTGCTGTGGTAACTAGCAAGGTATAATTACATATCAGCTAATTAGCTAACTAAGAGTCCTTCATCATCAGCTGATAGTTATCCAGTAGTTAAGAAATTCCCTGATGTTATAGAACCGAAAGGTACATCTCTGTTACTCATTACAAATGCCTGCCACTGAATCTTACCCACAATCATTTCAATCTACTGCAAGTAAACATAACATATAAAGTAAGTAAATGTAAAGCAAACCCTGTACCAGGCCGTGAAGGCCCACAGGATTGTAAGACGTTGAGGGTCCAACATTATCTAGACAGTCGGCTCAAAGATGGCGGTAAGGTTGTCAGCCTTATGCGCCGGTTGCGCTTTACTTCCCAGGAAAATTATTTAATTAATTCCTGGTACTGATTTCTGTTAGAGGCTGAGTCGACCCCAGGGCCATAGTGCGGCCGGAAGGATTAAGTCAACTTAAAAAATCCAATGACCTCATCGGGAATCGAACCCATGACCTTCCGGCTTGTAACATACGTGCTCAACCAACTATACTACTGCATGCCCCAAACATAACATATATCTCCCCAGAACCATTTTACTATTGTCCTTCCATCTATTTCCTTGTGATATGTTATCCACATTTTTGTATAAATTTCATTTTGCCCCTCTGCCTGAAGATTTCTACCTTCTGGGACATCGTGCTATATAATGTAACGAAAATTAACCAAGCCCTGATTGCCACCGGCTTCATGCTAGTTTTTTGCTTGACTTACTCTTCAATCCTGAAGATGGAGGTGATATGTTTCTCCGAAATGTTGACTGACTTTCACCAAACAACACATCGTTATATCCCAGAAGATATTTATTCATAGCCACTGCTATGAGAACCTCAAAATCAACATCCCCTCTGCTTATTTCAAATTCCTCTGCCTCATTCTCCTTCACTTTATCACCCTAAAGCATAAACTGAAAATTACAGGTGCTGGACCACTTAACTATATTATCTTTGCATCTTCTGTTTAGTTTAAGGTGTTACCCTACAGAAATTCTGTGTGCACTTCTTGTTGCCCAATTCATTATGAATTTGTACCTTAAAGCAATAACAGCATCTGGATTCCACTCACAAGCATGGACCATACGTGCTCTAGCATGAACAAGGTAAGGGAGTGTGAAATAGCCAATCCCTGCATACATGTCCACAACCACCTCACCATCGCATCTGAACCTGGCCAATCGATGACGCTCTGGAGCATTGCCAGCACTGAACATGGTCTTTGTTACATCCCAGCTGTACCTAACTCAAAGAAAATACCACTCTTACATACTGCCTGGTGCTATAGGCAACAACTTTTAGATAAAAAAAATAATCTTAAAAAAAGTTGCACATTTTTTAAACACTTTTAATAATTCCAGATCCTACAGACAATAATACTAATAGTATTTATCCTAGGTCAAATTATATAGCTGCCATACTGGCAAGAATTCAATAATTACCAGAAGTGCATCGTAATATTGCAAAAGCATTTGTGTAGTCCAGACAGCAAGTCTAAAATATCCTTTCATTTCAAGCATCTCTACAGCACCCATTTTTCTGTAGTGCGTTCTATAAGCAACAGACATATGAAGCATATAGCTAGCCTAAAATCATCACACTGCAGTCACACTATTTCCACACGATCATTTTATCAATGCACAATTCACACTCATTCAAGATCTTGTTGCCTGTGTGGCAGCTGCATGTGATTGTGTCAGAAGGAAAACTGAATAAAATACAACACAAAAGTCATATGACTTTACATACATGTTGAAAATTAAGGGAAAGGAGGGTGGAAGGTGGATCATGCTTGTGGTACACTGTGTGCTCAGCCAATAAGAAGAAACAACCAGTCCCAGAGTTCAATGTGTAAAGTCAATCTGTGTACAGATATTTCAATTTCCATACAAACTTCTAAATGAGAGTCCCATCATAACATGGGACCCCTGCAACTGGTGCAGATTTCAATTTATATACGATGGGGTACCCAAAAGAAACCGAACTAATTTTTTTGTGGGCAGAGCTTTTGTAGTACCGCGTTTTGCCACTATAAGCGCATAGAGCTAACATTCCTGCAACTGCTGCAGATTTCGATTTATATATGATGGGGTACTCAAAAGAAACAGAACTAATTTTTTTGTGGGCAGAGCTTTTGTAGTACCGCGTTTTGCCGCTATGAGCGCATAGAGCTAACATTCCTGAGTCGATAAGCCGACTATCGTTGCTTCAGAAGGTAAGGACTAGTTTCGGCAGAGTTTATAGTGACAACTGTTTTGTGTGATCGTCGTTTTTGCAATGGCTGATTTTCGTGAACAGCATGTGGCGGTGAAATTCTGCTTTTTGCTCGGGAAAAGTGGAACAGAAAATTTTGAAACGTTAAAAACGGCGTACAAGGACGATGCTATGGGGAAAACTCAAGTGTTTGAGTGGTTTTCCTGTTTCAAAAATGGTGAAATGTCAATTGATGACAAACCTCGTTCTGGTCGTCCTTCCACGGCCCGAACACATGAAAATGTTGAAAAAATCGTGAAATCATCATGGAAGATCGACGACAGACCATTGAAGAAATTGTGGAGCTGTCGGGAGTGACTTGGAGCTCAGCGGCCAGATTTGTGGCAGTCGGGTGACTGGTTTTTCCATCATGACAATGCCCCTGCTCACACAGCCCTGTCTGTACGACAATTCTTGACCAAAAATGGTATGACCCCTGTTCCTCACCCTCCATACTCACCCGACCTTGCCCCGTGCGACTTTTTTTTGTTTCCTCGAATGAAAAGAGACATGAAAGGAAAAAACGATGGAGGCACTGTCAAGCATCTCAAAAGATGAATTTAGACAATGTTTTGAAAAATGGAATAAAAGACTAGACAAGTGTATTAGTGTAAGTGGAGAGTACTTTGAAGGGGATTGAAGGTTTGTGCTTAAAATTTGAATAAATAAGTTTAAAAAAAATAAGTTTGGTTTCTTTTGGGTACCCCCTCGTGTGTATATATATATATGTATTTTATCTTACTTCAGGAGTCTATCATCTTTTTCAAAGAAACATGATTCTCTTCACACAAAAGGATTTGGCACCGTATTTTCTACATTTTTCTAATATCAATACCATTACTACTGAAAACCTCTGAATTAAAATCACGCCATTTAAATGCCATATAATAAAGGTTAGTAGTAGCATGTAGTTGTACATTAAGCTTCATACTAATATGTATATGAAAAAAGATGTGACTGTGGAACTACAAAATGCACACTATTATGGAAATTTAAAAAAACAATCCATGCTAAAATTCCGTACGATAATAGCCAATTATATGCTTTCATATGGACCCAAATAATGGATGTTAACAAAAGGACAAGAGAATGGAGATGGCAGAAATATGTGTTTCCTCTGAGCAGTCACAGGATACAGAATGGCACAATTATAAACATAAAGAACACATTACAGAACAACTAGGAATCGCAGGTATCAGTACAATAATAAACAAGAGTGGATGGCACAATCCATACCACAGTATAGTTTTCATATGCTTCAAAACTAAACACCAAAGCTACTCTCTCAATACAAACTGAAGGATACAATACATTAAGGATATCCAATAAAAATATGGAATAAAAGTTTTAATCCTTACTCCATTATGTTCAGAATAAGCTAAAGGTTTGAAAGAAAATTGTGTGCAAGAGGACACAAAAACATTAATTACACAACGTGGACTGTAAGAAAAAAGATATGAGGCTTGGAACATTAATAGTGGCAACTATTTATTTACAACTGATACAAAATAGATGCATGTTTCAAAGTTTTACTGTCCTTTAATGTAGTCACCAGCATTGTGTACAACCCATTGCCAGTGATGTGGAAGTCATAGGGTACCTTTAGCAGCACCTGTTGTGTTGATAGTTCGAATGGAGCTGTCTATTGCCTGACGAATCTCTGGAACAGTTCTGTAGTGAATGCCATGAAGCAGTTCCTTCATCTCAGGAATCAAGTTGAAGTCACAAGGGCTTAAGTCTGGGGAGTATGGTGGATGGTACAACACTTCCCAGCTCCATCAATCGAACAAATTGGTCACAGCCTGCGCTGCATGCAGCCAAGCATTGTCCTGCAAAATGATGGTTGGGGTTCTGCAGAAACTGTCGCTGCTTCTTTCTCAAAGCTGGTCGCAGGTTTTGTTCCAAAAATGAACAGTAATACTGCGCACTGATGGTCTGCTGTTGGGGAACGGTATGCGTTAGGATAACACCATCACAGTCATACACGAGAATCACCATAACTTTCACATTCCTGGGGTTCTGAAGAATTTTTTATTTTTATGGTGACCCGTAATGATGCCATTCGTTCAATTGGCATTTCATTTGTGGCTCATACGATTTGGCCCATGTCTCATCCAGGGTAATGATATGGCGTAAGAAAGCCACCCCTTAGCGCTCATAGCCCTCCAAGTGGTTACGAGCAGCATCATATCATAGCCATTTCTGCATTTCCATCAAATCATGCTGAACCCATTGTGATGCAATTTTTCTCATACCCAGGTGTTTCTTCAGAATGTGAAGCACAGTCATATGCGCTAATCCTGTCTCTTTGGCCAGCTCACGAATCATATGGCATCAATGACTCTCCAGTAACGTGGAAAGAGCATACACTTCTTCTTCACTGACACTAGGACCTGGCCGACGCATGTCTGCCACATTTTGGCATCCCTCGTTGAAGGCGTTTACCCACCTTGCCACTGTTCTGTAAGTCAATGCAGATTCCCCACAAGCCTCTTGAAGACCTTGACGACAGTGTCGTGCTGTATGGCCTCTGGCACATTCAATTTTTATCCAACTCCGTTGTTCCTGTTTCAAAAACATCGTGACAACACTACACTAGACCGCCAGCTAACATGAGGCTCTGTTCTTCTCGTCACTGCACATGCGCGTGATGTGGAAAGGGAGAGTCCATTTGCTCTGAGGTAAGGTAGGTATAAGTGACATTTTTTGGTTCCGTTGCATGGCGTCTCTACAGCAGGGTTGCCAGTATTAAAGTTCCAACTCTCGTATTAAAATGGAGAAACATTACACATATTGATAATTAAAAATGAAAGTTTAACTGTTCTGATAAACTGATGGGCTATCTAATGACAAAACTTTTCTCTTAAGCATGCAATGTGGGCACACAAATCATTGTCCCTTCTGGCTACAGTTACACTGCAACTAACAATAATGACACAATAAAAGAATCCATACCTGATTCCATTGTCCACACAGTCCACCCAACTCAATTCACCCCAAACCAACCGAACATTTGGTGTCCGAAATCCATCTGAGGAGATGTGACCTTTTAGACCAACACGATTTCCATTAAGCACTGCGCATACATTTGTCCACAGCTCTGGCCCTGGAAACAAATACACGTAGTTCCCATGCTGCAAGCATGTCTTTCTGGCAGTCATGGGGAGGAGGTGGGAGTAACTATGGCCCTTTAAGGTCATATGGTACATATGCCATCCTCAATGATGTTGGGTAAATTTCAGCTGTCTCTGGTGGGAGTGCATCATGGACCAGAGGGTACATCGGGACACACCTTTGGGACACCTCCTCGTGGTCCCACCGAGCAATGTCAGTCTCTGGGTCTGGCTCAGTATGACAACCCAGGACTGGTGGCTAAGCTTGCGTGAGGGCAGTGGCGTCTTATGACCGGAGCCTCCCACATAGCGGCATTATGACTCCCAGGTATTACTATGGTTTGCCAGGGACAAATAAGGGAGAGCACTTGTATGGGGGTAGCTTCAGCTACTTGAGATGGTTTCAACCTGACAGAAAGGGGGGATTAATCTTGTATACAGATGGTTCAAGGACAAAAAAGAAAGGCACTGGAACTGGGGTGTATTGCTATGGGACAAGGTAGAGGCTTATTTTTAGCCTTGGGCAGTACACAACAGTATTCAATGCAGGAGTGTATGTCATTAAGACATGCTCAGTTGAGAATCTAGATAGAAACTATAAAAACAGAAACATCTACATTCTTTCAGACAATCAAACTGCTATTAAAGCGCTTGATAAACACCAGATCACCTCAAAACTGGTCTAGGACTGACACCAATCCCTCATACAACTGGCCAAACATAAGAGAGTTCAACTGATATGGGTACCAGGTGATGAGGGTATTTTTAGTAATGAAATGGCAGGTCAGCTGGCAAAAACAGGTTCTGAACATCTGTTCACAGAACCTGAACCAGCTTGCAGCATCTCAACTGGAGTTGCCAAGAGAGCGGTCATGGACTGGAAGAACAGAAATCACAAAAAGCGTTGGGAATCCACAACTGGACTCAAAGAGGCAAAAAGAACAGAGACCAGTTAAGATGGGTGGCAGGACTATTTACAATATTGACAATGTAATGTAAAAAAACAACAGGATACTTTCACCTACAATGACAGCTTTTCAAACTGGGATTGATAGATGACCCCATCTGTGAAAGATGCCTAAAATATTATGATTCAGCCACACATATCCTATGTGATTGTGAGGCCATAGCTTATTTAACACATTTAGTGCAAATCTGCCCAAGATGCTTTTAAAAGAATCTAAAAATATTAAGAGCACAGTATGCTGTTTAATCTGCATTTACCTGCACATCCACATGTTATCGTTCAAACTGCAAGTCTGGATTACCTAGCATGCCATAAGCTAGTTGTGCTTCATAATGATATAAATAAATATTTATTATATATAACGACCAAGGTTCTCAGAATACCATATAGCCAAGCAGTATGGTAAGGTGAGACATTTTATTAAAATCTGTCAACAAATTCTGATTTTTGCTAAAATTTGACAATAGTAATAAATGCTTTACATAAAGACCTACACATGTGTTTCTGTGTGCATCTCAAATGTAACTACCTAACTATTTGTTTGAGCAAAAAATATTCTGTGTAGATGTACAGAAAAATTAGAGAAAAATGAAACATACACTTTCTCTGTCAGTCATGTTGCTTTTGAGATAATTAAACAAAATTTACTTTTATGCTGTCTAGAGGCAATAACAGAGTAAATTCACCATAAATGTTAAGTTATGCACTTGTTTTCCACCTTGTTCCATCCAGTAGTCTCAAAAATTCTGTTTGGTGTGGTACAACCTGAGGTAGGGATATTCACACAACCAAACACTGCACTTCACAAGTTAAATTCTTCAATGTCATGTGCAACCAGTCCTGCCTCACTTTGTAAGTCTCTATCTTGTGTGTTTCTTCAGATGTTTAGAAAGGACTCAATACACTGCATAGACATTGTTACTTATTTATCTTTTAATAATTTTCACCTGTTTTATCAAGTTCATTTCTGCAGTTATTTACTGCTTTCTTACTTGTTTGCCTGTTTCACTAACAGTTAATTAATTTTAATGTGGGGCTTAATCAGGTGTTTTACTCTCCTTTTCGCTCTGAAAGCCTCTGTACAAGTCAGACATGTCATGCCATTGCTCAGTGTGTTAGTCTGGTGCTGCACATAAGCAATTCTAACAGTTTCACTTCAAATGAGGCACTCAGGCCTAAATTGGCATAAACCCACACATGAGAGTACACAGGTTAGGCCACTCATTCTCGCCCCACAAATTTGGAGATATTGATAGTATTTTATAAAATATTAATTCTCCATAATCAGAGGAATAACAAATAATTCTAAGAAAAAAACATGAGGCAATATTATCCAGGTAGCTACAATGATATATGCCTGTTCCTCAAAATTTCCTGGCAATGAACCTACAAACCACTCCCTCATTTTGAAAAATACCTGACTTAACTTGTGAACATAATACAAATAACTGTAAATAATTGTAAACTGGGGTGCATATTGGTTATTTCAGAGCTTAATATGCAGGCAGCTGGATTATTTCCTAATAATCAAAATTTTATTTGGAATTTCTAGCTTTAAAAATGAAACAAGTACAGTTTATTTTAATAAAGTCTGCAATTTGAAACATTTAAACCCCAATAAACCCAGCAGCAAATTTATGTGCCAGGAATTTAAATGGTGGCTGATGAAAGTTACTGAGTTCACTTATACGTGTCTGAAGTTCAGAAAAAAAAAAATGTATTTAACATATGTGCAATATCTGCTGGTATTTACGGTGGATTCAATTCCCATCATAACTTATTACAACAAGAAAACAACTACATACATTGGTTTCTGTCCATTTTGTATAAGTGAAAGAAATCCTAACATAGTAATTTTCCAGCTTCAAATTTCACATAACATGCTCAATTAATAATAATTAGCTAGAACTTATTAATAACAAAATATTAAATTAATTAATTGAATAAATTCTAGTAACTAACCTGCTACACTCCAAGCTAAATTCTTAAAGCATCTGTCACCATTAAAGAGAAGTAAATCCCCATACTTCTCCCACACCACTGGAATTTCTGCCTCAAGGCTTCTTTCCCAAAGCCCTCTCCTTCTCATCACTGCTTCAATCACTTTCTTGAGTCTCTGCTTTCTTGGGCATGGCATATAAATTTTATTTCGTATTATGCGGAATGGAACACGATTCAATAAAAGAGAGCCATCATCTGAACACAGCACATCTAAATCACATGTTACATTCTCTTTCACTGGAATACTGACTTCATCACAATTCTTCATGCATCGGAATTTTGGGTGTAAGAGCTGTCTCTTCTGTAATTCAAGTCTAGAATGAAAATAATTTATATGGCATGAACTAGTATTGCATGAATTAAACATGAAATTTCAATACAAGCCTCATCATTGACACCAAAAACTAACAATGGCTTAATTAGTTATGTTTCTAGATATTATTCCATTATAGTACAATCTCAGTAATCTGGCCACGCACTAGTCCGACATGTCCAGTAATCTGGCATAGGCGCCAGGCAGATGTCCGCGGCCTTGTGCAGGCTTCTACAGGCAGCAGAGCCTGACGTGTGTTCAGTCAAGCTTGACAAACTGATGTATTTATACTTTCGCTAGTACACAGTGTTTCAGATCTTCAGTACTGTACATTCCTGTACAGTACTTTTCATACAGTGGTGGATATAATGTGTGCTGAAGGTGTCCAGTTCTGGCAAATGTAAACATAAAACTTGAAGTGCTAAGGGAGAAATAATTAAGAGATTGACAAAGGTGAAAAACTTGTTAATTTGGCTAAAGAGTATGGTGTTTGACATACTACAATATATATCAGTAAAAATAGAGAGAAATTGGGTGTTTTATGAAAAATACAAACAGCGGCACCAGTGACAGGCAGACTCTAAAATCTGGCGAGTACCCTGAAGTTGAAGATGCTCTTTACACTTGGTTCTTACAAGAACATAATAGACACACTTCTGTTTCTGGGGAAATTATTCAAGAGAAGGCAAAATATTTTTACAAAATATTCATGAAGAAAGAGGATTTCAGAGCAAGTGATGGATGGCTAGATAAATTTAAAAAGAGAATTGGAAAACATTTTCTAACCATAATGGGAGAGAAATTAGCTAGGTCTTGGGCCAGGGCAGGTGTATAACACAGATAGAAGCAGTCTATTTTGGAGGCTCTTGTCCGCAAAAACTTTTGTCCACTGAGCTGAAGAAAGTGCAGCCAGGCACAAAACGTCCAAAGACCAAATTACGTTCATGCCTTGTCCAAATGCAAGTGGCACCCACACACTTGAAATGCTGGTGATTGATAAGGCAGCAATGCCCAGAGCATTTAAAAACCAAAGTCTTCCAGTCATGTACAAAAGCCAAAGCCATGGTTGGGTAACACAAGAAGTGTTGCTGAATGGTTCCATTAAAGTTTTGAGCCATCAGTAAAAACATCTCTTAAAAAGCCAAATTTACCAGCTAAAGCATTATTAATTTTAGATAATGCTCCTGGACACCCAAGTGAAGAACAGTTAAAATCAATAGCTGGTTTACTAGAGGTAACGTTCTTACCACCAAACTGCAGCCTGCTTCTACAACCAATGGCTCAGAATGTTATACAGTTTGTGAAGTCACATTACAAAAGAGCCTTCTACGCAGTGTAATAAGCCAAAATCAAATCATTCAATGTCTGAAACAAACAAACCTCAAAGACATAGTTTTTAATCTTGCATATGCATGGCAAAATGTACCTCCTAAAACCAAAATTCCTTCTTGGAAAAAAGTTGTGGCCTTCACATCCATTATCCTCTGGTAGCACTGAACTCACATGGCCAGAAGAATCAGAAAATGATGGTACTGTCCAAATTTCTGATCTCCAACAAACAATAGCCAAACTGTGTGAAAAAAGGCTCATCAGGTCCTGCGGTTGCTGACAAGTAATTGGCTAGCTGGAGGTGAGGAGGAAAATCTTCAAATCATGTCAGATGAAGAGATAATCAACAATATGCCAGAAGACAACAACAGCGAGCATGAGCAAGAGTCAAGTACTCCACTGAGTATCCACACATTATGACATGATGATTCCACGAGTGCCTTCAACACACGTTATAAATGGGCTTAAGAAAACGTGAAAGCTCAAGACATCCTCACACTGAAAAGACTGCAAGAAAAAGTTCTAAAAGAGGCATTTGGAAACAAAAGACAGAAAACTATTGATGCTTTTTTTTTTGTAGAAATGCAGTGAAATGAAGCTCTAAGTATTGAATTAATGGACAAAAATTTGCAGTACACATTTATATATATAAAATAAATAAATGATAATCAATTCTGAAACTTCTATGTTGTATAGTACAACGTAATAAATTTGTTCCAACTTCTTCCAGTAATCTGACAGTACCTTGCTCCCATACATATCAGACTACCAAGACTGTACTGTATTCCAATTTATTGTTCTTCATATTAAGAGGGAAAGGACAGATACTTCTGCATGCATACAGCACTGCTCATTGTGCGTCTCTACTGAAAATTTCCACCTTATCCATTTCTATAAAAAACACCATGGGTGGGGATGGGAATACTGATCAGTGTGTGCAAACTTGTGGACTTATTTAGCAGTTAACTATGCAAGCTCCTAAAATATTGCAAAATTACGTTATGGGCCACAGCTGCGTTACAATAACTGTAATAAGCACTGCCAACCAACTTCTTCATTCTTGAACTTCCAAGGCCACAGCATTATTATTATTATTTGTAACTTTGCATTCCATGTTAGGTGGGTCCCTGTCACCACGGCATGGCGCGTCCTCAGGTTTCGGATGGAGGAGACGCCATCCAGTTTTGGAGGGAAGCTGCGAATATATTGAATAAGCAGTCGCGGAGAGCCGACAAGGGGTGGCCCTCCAGCTTGGGGGTTGGGCGTGGGGTTAACAACTCCTCACCGTAAAAAATCAGTATGTTACGAAAATGAACACAAAGCCTCGGACCTGGACTGATTCCTTGGATAAACGACCTAAGGTATAGGGTAAGTTCGCTCAGGGCAGTGGCAGAAGAAATCTTAAAATATAAGTTAGATTTAGCGGGAGTACAGGTCAGATGGGATGGAAGTGGCATCGCACCAGCAGGCGAATATACATTTTTTTATGGAAAGGGGAATGAAAATCATGAATTAGGTACAGGTTTCTTCATACATTAGAGAATCATATCAGCAGTTAACAGGGTAGAGTTCGTTAGTGATAGGATATCATATATAATACTAAAAGGTCGCTGGTGTGATATCGTTGTTATGAATGTACATGCCCCAACAGAAGATAAAATTGATGACATAAAGGATAGATTCTATGAAGAACTAGAACATGTATTTGATAAATTCCCGAAGCACCCTATGAAAATTTTGTTAGGAGATTTCAATGCCAAAGTAGGGAGGGAAGACATTTTCA